CAGCCAGGGGGAAATGTTCTCCACTTATACTGATGGCTAGGAAAATGTTTTGATCCTGACTATGTCATGTGACTGAAAAAAAGAACAACAAACTAACTAAGAGATAATTAGAGAATATTTCCCTTGCGTGACGAGGGCCTCACATAATGGAGAAGGAAACAGTGCACTAGTATTGAAGAAAATATTGCATGGCCAAAAGCAACATCCAATCAAGTCAGGATGTCAAGCCATTAGTAGATCACAAAAGTGATGTTGCAAGAAAAAAAATCACTGCTTTACAAAAGTCTAGTAGCAGAATCCCTCTCAGGAAAGCCACAGATGATGCCACTACTGTATTCTCAAGGAATGGAAGCATGCATTTCCAGGAACAAGCAACCAAGACAAACAGTACCAAATAAAATAAAATGAAATTTTAAAAAGGTTAGTATGACCCACTTTGCAAAATGTTAGGGGGCAGGTTGTTCTTTACAAGGCCATGGTAAAAAAATAAACACAGACTTGGTGACATCCAGAAGTTTTCAGTTCTGTTGACATAAAATGCTAATGGCCAATGAACCCCCAAAGAATGCAGAAATTTTCCAAATTGTTAGTTGGTGATGCAAAACGAAATGAGAAAATATTGCATTGATTGAGGTGAAAATCAAACATAATGTTAAGCAAAAAAAGGCATATCAGGCTAAACCATGACCTTTTTATGTAATACTAGGAAAGGGCAATCACTATCTCAACAAGCAGATGTGAATACAATCTGTAAAGCAGTTTTGAAGGTAAGCAAGTGTATGTCATAGCCATACTACACTCAGGAGGTGAGGACATAAGCAGAGTCAACACTGCAGAGATTGTGAGGCTAACTACACAGGTGTCTGGCCGGCTGTTTGGTCGATTGCAGGAATCCACTGGTTTGCTCCTAAAAACAGCAATCAGATAACATCTTTGCTAGAATGAACCAGCCTGTCCACAAGGCGGTCCTACTTACAGCTTTCTGGCCTCTGTCAGGGGCTTGTACTTTTTGGGAGTGGGTTGTAGTCCATGTGTGATCGAAATGAACCAAAGTGAGCCTCTCTCTTTTAATTTGACAGTATTATGAAGAGGGGCACTGTGCAGCTGTGGAAATGAACAAAAAAATTACACATACCTAACTTGTAATACACATACCGAATGTGTAATACAAATACCTAATGCTTAAGTATTTTGCTCTTTAAAAGCAGAAACATCACCTTACCAACAAAAGTACGCATAGTCAAAGCTATAGTTTTTCCTGTAGTGATGTATGGAAGTGAGAATTGGACCATGAAGAAAGCTGACCGGCGAAGAATTGATGCTTTTGAATTGTGGTGCTGGAGGAGACTCTTGAGAGTCCTCTGGACCTCAAGGAGAACAAACCTATCCATTCTAAAGGAAATCAACCATGAGTGCTCACTGGAAGGACAGATCCTGAAGCTGAGGCTCCAATATTTTGGCCATCTCATGAGAAGAGAAGAATCCCTGGAAAAGCCCCTGATGTTAGGAAAGTGTGAAGACAAGAGGAGAAGGGGACGACAGAAGATGAGATGGTTGTACAGTGTCACCGAAGCTACCAATGTGAATTTGACCCAACTCCGGGAGGCAGTGGAAGGAGGCCGTGGCGTGCTCTGGTCCATGGTGTCACGAAGAGTCGGACACAACTAAACGACTAAACAACAACAATGCTGTTTTTAAAGTGATGCAGCAGATATTCACTGCTCTAATACACACTAAAATAATTTCTTTTTCACTTCCCCAACCCTTCCACAGATCAAAAGAAGTATTTAATTTGCCAGTGTTATGAAATGCCTCTCTTCCTAAGTCACTTCACAATACCGGCAAATTCTGGGAGTTCCAGTTGATAGAACCATACTTACAGACACCTATATTTTGCTCACCTTGATCAGGCCTAGTCCTCAGGGGCTGGATGGCATTGAGGCTGCAATTCTTGCTGCAAACCCTCCTTGGGAGGAAGTGTTAAAATGCTTTCTGAGAATGACAGTCTTCCTGTCTTTTAGCCTTTACCGAACAGGAAGCAAGGCCATGAAGGTTTGCAGTTGTGTCTTTTTCCAGGTGAACTACAATTAGGCATATAACTGTGAAGATTCTCAGTCATCCAGGTGAGGTTATCTGGAAGTTGAGTCATGGCAACTGGACTTCTTTCTTATTGGGTTGAAACATTTCATTAGGTTGAAACGTTTCAACTGAAGAAACTACTTGGATGAGTAGTGAAACGTTTCAACCTAACAAGAAAGAAGTCCAGTTGCCATGACTCAAGATACAATTAAGCATCTGTAGATGTGGATCTGTCAGGAGCTGAAATCCAAAAAATCCAAATGGCAAATTCCTAGTGATCACACAAGTTAAAAGCAAGAAAAAATAATGTGAGTGGAAAGGCTACAGAAAACACAAGCCCAGTCAGCCAAACAAAATGTATTGAGTAGTCATGCCCAAAGATTGAATCTGCTTGCAATTAGTGCCAACATTATGTAACTGACAGAATATAGAAAAGAACAGTGACAAATATAGCACAAACAGCAGAACAAATATCAGTCTAGTCCAGTGGTTCTTAACCTTTGTTACTCGGATGCTTTTGAACTGCAACTCCCAGAAACCCCAGTCAGGACAGCTGATGGTGAAGGCTTCTGGGAGTTGCAGTCCAAAACTCCTGAGTAACCCAAGGTTAAGAACCAGTGGTCCAGTCAATTACCTGCTCTCTGGGATGTGCCTGACTCTTCTGCCACCAAATACACATCATAATGCAGAATACATTTCCTGATAGAAGGAATGCGTTCCTTTTAAATGTTTGTTGACAAGTGGAATTTTTGATGGGAAGCTTTGGAAATAAGCAATCTGGAATTTATGGAAATAAGTCTTCTGGAGCAAAATACCTTGCTAGACAAGACAGGAAAAAATGTTTAAAAAACCCAGTGATTTTGCTGTAAAAAAACCAAAACATTAAGTGCCTTTAGCATTGCTTTTCTGCCTTTGGTCTTGCTTTTCCAGAAGCCTGAAGTTGAGATGGAATTAGAAAAAAATCCTTAAGTGTAAGGATCTACTGCTAGAGATCCAAGGCTATGCGATGGCAAACCAATGGCATGCATGCCACAGTTGGCACGCAGAGCCCTCTCTGTGGGCACGCGAGCCATGGATTGCTACTCCAGCAGCCAAACCTGAGGAGGCGGATGCAGCCGCAGTGCTAGCGTCCCGACAAGGGGCAGGCCAGGATCCGGAACAGCTGGTGCTGGTGGCGGCGGGCCAGCTGAGCTATAGGTACCATGTTTCCCCGAAAATAAGACAGGGTCTTATATTAATTTTTTGCTCCAAAAAATGCATTAGGGTTTATTTTCAGGTGGTCTTATTTTTTCATGTACAGCAATTATATTGATTCAAATACAGTCCTGGCATCTTGTTCTGGTTGCTGCACAATGGTGGTGGCTGGGATTTCGCTCAACTGCGGCTTATTTTTGGAGTAGGGCTTATATACCGAGCATCCTGAAAAATCATACTAGGACTTATTTTCAAGTTACGTCTTATTTTCGGGGAAACGGGGTAGTGACAGGGTTGGGCACAACTAGAGCACTGGTTCTTAACCTTGGGTTACTCGTCTTATTTTTTCATGTACAGCAATTATATTGATTCAAATACAGTCCTGGCATCTTGTTCTGGTTGCTGCACAATGGTGGTGGCTGGGATTTCGCTCAACTGCGGCTTATTTTTGGAGTAGGGCTTATATACCGAGCATCCTGAAAAATCATACTAGGACTTATTTTCAGGTTACGTCTTATTTTCGGGGAAACGGGGTAGTGACAGGGTTGGGCATGACTAGAGCACTGGTTCTTAACCTTGGGTTACTCAGGAGTTTTGGACTGCAACTCCCAGAAGCCTTCACCACCAGCTGTCCTGACTGGGGTTTCTGGGAGTTGCAGTTCAAAAGCATCTGAGTAACAAAGTTTAAGAACCACTGGACTAGAGGAGGATCCAGAGTGGAGTCTGACTCTGGAAGCACCTCTGTGGCCAGGATTCCCCACTTTCATTTCTGCCGCCACTCGCCAGGTCTCCCCCCCCCCCAAGTTTGGGCATTCGGGCTCAAGAAGGTTCACCATCACTGATCTATAATGTGGTATTCTTGATTACTATGAGCACTGGACAGTGAAGAAATAATTCAAATACACTACGAGAAAGTCAAATAAATGGCTGCTAGGTCAAATCAAATTTGAATGCTCACTCAAAGCTAAAATGACTAAACTGAGGTTACTACACTTTTAAACGTATCATGAGAAGGCATGGCTCGGTAAAAATAATGGGCACCGGAGAGCAAATGCTTGAACATTTTAAAACTGTTAAATAGTGGAATATTGACGCCAATAAGAATCACGACGCAGCAGTAGTTCCACACAACTTTACTGAAGGCAAGAGCGCGCGCGCGCACACACACACATATGTAAAAAACCCCGCCTCGCGTTTAGAGGTTTCCACCCCTCCTAATCACTCAGCATCTGTGCTAATTGGGAGGAGGGAAAGTTACCCACAACAGCTGCTGTCCCATCTACCAGGCTGCTACTAACCTGGAAGGGACAACAGTGAAGTTGATCTTAAGACACAACAAAAACTGTGGATTAAGTCACGTAATCCCCACGAAATGTATCTAATCACTGAGTGGGCTTCTGGACCCGCTGGTGACTTCTGCTTTGGAGTGAAAAGAGCCAATAATGTCGTTTACAAAATACGCCCGCTACCACACTTCTAGCATTCCAGGCTGCTTTATCGTCGAGCTTGGTATTCTTTTTATGAGCAAGCCAGCTAGATTGGGCTTTACTTTTCTGAGTGACACACAAGCTACCAATGAAAAAGTCTAGGCTGCCCACTCGAGGCAAACAATTCAATCAAAGGCTTAGAGGCGGGTGTAAATGCCCCTTACTTTCAGTTGACTGGGTAATTTTCAGACAAAGACCCGCCTACAGCCACTATTGCTAAGTTCTATTGGTTGGTGGAAGACAAATGGCTGTTTCGTAGCCTTCCTTCCTTTCAACCGTGCGCTATAGAAAAAAGGAACGCCGGAGCAGAGGTTTTGTGGATGGATGGTGGGCTTTTGCGCCTGCGCAGTTGGTCAAATGCTCTGTTGGCTCTGGCTCGGCTTGGCCGGTAGTTTTCTCACCGTGTTGCTGGTGTTGCGAGTCCCGCGGCTGAAGGCTCCAACGGGGTCCGCCTCGTTTGGCTTTCCAATATGTTTCCAGGATCTGCTACGTTACGGGAAGACCAAGGGCGGCTGCGGGGAGCGTCCTGCCTGGCTGAAGACCTTCGATGTACCGAAGAGGTGACTAGAAAGGCTCCGAGAGTGGCTGTCGTGCTTTAGCTTGATTTTGCTGAACTGCCTCCGTCCCCGGGCTCAGCCGAGCCCCCACTTTGGTGCTACACCAGTCTGTGTCTAGGGCTTCTGGGCATGTGTAGAGCGCTTTCTCCTTACCTCCAGGCCTCTCCTTGAACAACCTTAGGGGTGGATACAAGGAGCGCTTTCCTCGCACATCGGAGCTCTATGTGTGGTTAAAATCCTCCCTATCGCTTGGAAGGATGATGGATTCTCAAGGTACACCAAAGCGAGAGAAGGCAGTTTTGGAGGTTTCTCTCACTTTGGGGTTCTTTGTTCAACTTTCCACAGTGCAAAGCATCTATGGTGGCAATGATGTTGTCAGTTTCCGGAGGGGTAGTAGCTGTGTGTCCTTGCTTTTGTAAAGGAAAAACCATGTGTCACTTCAAAAGATTGCACATTTATTTTGACAGAACCTTTCATGAACTAGAGCTCACTTTATCAAATGCATACAATCAGGATATCCAGGGGGACTTAACTTCTCAGTAGGCCGGAAGTTAACTTTCTTTGTCACTTTGTCAATGTATAGGGGTACAGTACTTATTTATATCATACATATATGCAGAACATATTGTCCAAGAGTTGATCATTATGTAGACATAATACGTATTGAGAGCTTTGTTTAAGCCTTGACATTTGCAGTTTTTTTAAATTGGGGAAAAGTTTAAAACACACATATGCATTAAGGACTCAGATTGTTAAATGCCTTCTGATTTGGGGTGGTGGAGGAATGGGAATGGCCCTGAGTTTTCTGGAAGAGAGATGGCTGCCTAGTATCCTGAACAGGAGTTGTGATTGAGTTCTATGTTCTCTTTAGGCAGCTCCTCTGTTTCCGCGGGAAATAACAAGGGAGACGTCTTTATAATCTTTGAACTATCACATTTATTGACACCATCTTCTTCCAGCACATTACTTATTGGATCAAATAACTTCAACTCGGGCAACAGGCCACAACTTACAGAACCGAATGACTTTTCATAGTCCCATGGACTCATTGGGGAGGTTTCTCAAGCCATTCTCGGCAATTGTGTGTCTGGGGAGGAGTGCTCCGGAGGGCGCAAATAGTCCCACAACACGCGTGGCGGATCCAGCCTCTCTCATCAGGGCGATCGTAGAAGCGATTGTGCGCAATCTCAATCTCACGTTGTAGTTCTAATTCTCTGGGCGTCACAGTCACCGTCCACTCTGTTAGTGACATACTGAATTGGTTTCTCCTCTCGTGTGCCCGGATCTGGCAAGAGTCCTCCGACTCTCAGATTAGGAAAAATCCCTCAACAGTCCTTGTCTTATACTTTCAAAAGCCTTCTTGCGAGCATCTACCCTCTTGTTATCGTATTCCTCTAGCACTGAGCTGAACCACCATACTCCCCATTCATTTATATCCTCCTTCCAAACTGTCAACTCTTGCTCCGCCTCCTTCCCTTCCTTGCCCTCTTCCACTAAACAAACCTCTACGTTTCCCGCCTTTTCTTTAGGTTCAATTTCTCCCGCCTTTGGCACAACGGTCCACCCTGCTTTCTGTAGTTCTTCTTCACCTTCCTTGTATTCTTTATCATTTGTATTAGCTTTATTTAGCAGGGACGGCTCACTGACACCAGCGCCTCCTTCACAGGAGTCCCCACTGCAAAACTCTGGGATGTGTGGTCCAACAAAATTTATATTTCCAAGTTGTGCATGCACACACAGAATGCATACTTCTATGTTTGAGAAAACACATTTTTTGGGACCACAGCTCCCTCAGTCCACCAACCAGTTGGCTATTATCTGCAGGATTCTGGTAGTTCAGAGGATAAAGTAGCAAAGAGGAGAGCCATGCACACCCCCATTAGTTCATTGGAAGGAAAGCAGGATTAAAAATGTGACAAATAGATCCAAAATATATCTGTTCCAAGCTCTATTATGAGCTGACAAATCAGAAAGGAAGGCTTCATACCCTTAAGACCCTTTATATGCCCCCATCAAGTGAATATATCCCTTGCTTTATGTGTCCTGCCTCTTAAACAGTTCATCTTACGTATGTGCCGTAGTTGTTGTAAGAGTCTGACAATTTTCAGGCTGAGGATCTGCTCTGAATAAACGAGGTAACAAATGCATTGCCAGTTTTGCTCATGACTTCAGAGATAGTGATTTATTTCCAATAGCATGACTGTTCACCTGGAGATACATTCCTCTAATTTTAGTAGGACCTCTGCCTGGTCGTCTAGGATTTGAAGCCTATATAATATGTTTAAGAAAAAACAAACTGGTTTATTATTTCACGCCTCGAGTGAAATAAGAATGAAGCACTGTGGACAGAATTCCAAGCAAACTGGATGAGTGTCTAATCTAGTTTCAGATTGCTGACATTCTGGAAATAGCCTCTTATATGATCTTGAAGCCATCTCACTCCCTTTGAAATTGAGGTATAAATTCTGTGCTTGGTGTGGGGTACGTTCACTTCTGCGTTGGGCGGAGGAGGACAATAAAAATGGAAAGGTGACTTGTTATTTAGCAGTTGCTGCTTAAGTTAATAACTGACAGTTGTTTTGGCTTCTCAGTATCACTGAGAAGATGCTAAGTAGTGTTGTAAAATTTATGCTCCTCGGGAGGCCATGTCTAGCAGAGGAGAACTGCAAAAGCATGAAGATACGAGGAATTCAGTAGCCCTTTGCTACAACTGAAAATTGTCTGTTTCCTTCTTTTTACAGGTGGTTCTATCACTTCTATATTTTGTCCGTCCTCTGGAATGGCTTCCTGCTACAGTCGCTTATCCAGAGCTTGTTTCTGTCATGGCCCTTCACCATTTGGCTTCAGAACTTGCTCGACATTCTTGATGGAACATGGCAGAACCAGAATATGGATGCGCACATTACTGGGCATGGTATGAGCTCTTGTTTGTAACAAGAAGATACAATCTCTGTTCCTGTAGCACAGATCTTGGCTTTTATTGCAGACACTACCACTTCCATTCCCGTCATAGCCCAAATGAGTAACTGGCATAAAGGGAAATGTTAGCTGCTATTAGCAGCTCCAGGAGTGAGACGAAGAATTAGAAGGTTCTTTTCTAACTGGAAAGTCCATTCCTATCACTAATCGGTGATCAGAGATAAGAGCAGTTCAAGGTTGTTAAATTCCAGCATTTTATATCTCTTGAGATGTGTTTTGCATGCCTGAAAATAATTACAGTGGGGCTTACTTCTGAGTAAACATGCATAGAATTGAGCAATGTTTTGTTAGGAAGACATGTCAGTGTTTCTTGACTCCATCAAGGTAGGAGAGAAAGATCAATGTGGAGACAAGAGCTGAGGGAAAAAGAAAGAGAGCACTAGGTTGAGTGGGGGCGGGGTATCAGACTAATGAGTTTCTAACCCAGGCCAGACTGGGCATGTTTGCTAATACATGGAACAGCATCCAAGCTGCCTGCTGCCCTAATTCAGGATGTGTTCCACTGTTACTTTGAACTGTTTAGAATACTGCATTCTGTGCTGTTGCTTGGTACAGAGTGTTTTGTGAAAACATGAGCTTTTTCTTATAATCTTGCTGTTCTCCCTTTTAAAAATATATATGAATACATACTATATGGCATGTCTGGTGAAGAAATTGCTTCTTAACACAGCAACTTGTTTTGCATTTCTAGATAGTGAGACTCTGTCTGCTCTCCTGGTGTGTCTTTTCATCTGGTTAAACAGCTGCAGACGGTTATGGGAATGCCTTTATATCAGTGTCTTCTCTGGAGGTGCCATTCATATTGTACAGTATTGCTTTGGGCACTGTTACTATGTTCTCTTGGGTTTAACAGTTATGTGTCAAGTGCCAACTGAGGTCAGAGAAGGTAAGCATCTTTAGTATTGTTGGTGGGTTTTTAAAAAGGAATTTAAAACCCTGTTATTCAGACAGGCATTTCAAAATACTGTACCTGTGGACTCAGCTGAATTTATTTAGCCTTAATTTGACTAATTCTGCCATTTTAAATGTTTTTATATAACTGTATTTAATGTACTTTGATTTTATTGTTTTTGTATGTTATTCCTTTTTAGTTTTGTCAAATTGATATTTTAATTATGCTGTTGTGTTTGTAGTAAATAAGTAAGTATTTAAGTAAGTTGTAATAAATCATGGGTTTGCCAGCCTCATAATCTTTGGATCCACTTTGTTTGTATAGATCAGGACTTCATAAAAGCTATTATTAGATATCCTTGTGTACAAGACTCACAGAATAAAGGTCAGAACAGATTTGGGTATTTTCTGTAGTTTGATCTTGCCAGATTTGCAAGATGGGACATGCCATTGAGTAAGAATCCAGAGCTTGGAAAAGTTCCTCTTTTGAACTATAAACTTCTTTTGTTACAAAGATCTTATGAAGTTTTGTTGCAAAAGTAATGCAATGACCTGAAACAGATACTTTATTAGTGTAATCAGTATCTAGTTATTTTCAAAAATTACTTTTAAAAGGTATTTTTGGAGGAAACGGGCTGGAATGGTTACAATTCTATCCCATTTTCTTATCAATCTTAAGTCCTTGCCTCAGAGTAACAAAGTAAGCACTAGGAAACAAGCATCATAATTAGTTATCCAACTTTGTAGTGAGAAATAACAATGGGTTGCATTTCAATTGCTGTAATGAGTTATAAGAACAAACTACTTTTGAATGGTAATTTTGCAGACTCTCCTAGAGGCCATACTGACTGGTGGCATTCTGGGAGCTGTGACCTAATAATCTTCCAAAGCTGTGAATGGCATTGCTGCTAGAAGATATGTAGGTTTGGAAATACAGTGGTGCCCCGCATAACGAGCGCTTCGTTTAACAACGAATCCGCATAGCGATTGAGTTTTTGCGATCGCATTGCAATGTTTTAAATAGCAAAAAATCGCTTTGCGATGATCGGTAAGCTGTTTCGCTTACCGATTTTCACATAGCGATGTTTTTTCTAACAGCTGATCGGCGGTTCCAAAATGGCTGCCGGGTTAAAAAAAATGGCCACCTGCTGTGTTTTCGCGCCCATTCCTCGCTTACCGGGCAGCGAAAATGGTGGCCGGATGGAGGATTTTCGCATAACGGTGAGTTTTTTGCCCATAGGAACGTATTAAACGTGTTTTAATGCATTCCTATGGGCTTTTTCGTTCCGTATAGCGACGAATCCACATAGTGACTATTTTTCCAGAACGGATTATCGTCACTATGCGGGGCACCACTGTGCAGATATTGATTGTATGTAATTTTTGAAAAAGAGGGCATTTTCCGTGGTGGAACCCCAGCTTTGGAATATCCTCTGTAAGGAGGTATGTCTGGAGCTTACCTTGCACCTCTCTACACTTACGTTAATATGTTCTTACCTACTCTGGCATCTGAAATGCCTATACTGCTTCTGTGCTGTTTTGATGCCGTTTCTTACTATATTCTGATATTGATGTTTTGTCATGTTGTGCCCTGAAGACTACACTTGATGGTGATGACTAGTATAAAAATGTTCTAAATAAGTATATATATATTTTTTTGCATGATCCAGGAAAAGGCTCTCGGCTGACAATCAGCTGGTACCACATACTGGGACTCCTGATGTTTATATGGGCTTCTGTCCATCAACATAGATGCCATGTGATTTTAGCTAACCTTAGAAAAACTAAATCAGGTAAGAGATTTTGTTGCTTTGTATAATCCTCGTAGGTTAGAAAGATTTTGTTGCTTTGTATAATCCTCATAGGTTAGAAAGTTATCACAGGATTTGACACTATCATCTACAGTCAACCTCATACAGTACTGGAAACATTCAGGCCCAAACTAAAAATGACAAAATAAAATCAGGCATGTGTTTCTTTAACTGCGTGTCCCGCTCATGTGCAAAGTAGCTAGGAGTTCAATTTAAAGATTTTTGTGGTGTGAGGATGAGAGACAATGAATCTTCTTTTCCATCTACACCACTGTATCTCTGCCTCTCCTGCTGGCAGAGTCTATTTTCATAGCTAGGCTGTTAGGTGAAATCTGGCCAAGGAAAAAGTGATATTTGGGAAAAGGAATCAAGTTGTGAATGGTGAAAATGTCCATCACTGCTTGCTGTGTCCTTCTTTTGCTCTCTAAGCGAAAACCTGTAGTTAATTTTAGAAATGATCAGAGTGTCTCTATTGCTGTTATGTGTAGTTTGGGCTAGAAGGCCTGTTAAATATCATAGGATCGTAGAATAGTGAAGTCGGAAGGGGCTTTTGAGGCCATCAAGTCCAACCCCCTGGTCAATGCAGGAATACAAATCAAAGGATACCTGTGAGCTGCTTGTCTCATATGTTTCTCTTGAATATACATTATTTGGAGTTGTGAATTCAGTCTAGAGTGGTGATGGGTAATCCTCAAATATATTTTGATCATGATCAAAAGCACCCTCTTTCTATGGTCCAGAACTCTTAAGAGTGAATCCTGGTGTTCTCTCACACTGAGCTTTTTTTGAGGATACATTCCCATTAAAAAACAAACAAACCAAAAGTAGATTTTGCTGAGGAGCACTCCTAGAAAACAGGGAAGTGAAAACTGCATCAGGCAGTGGCTTCATTAAATTTCTGTTTTTCCTTTGGTCAACTTGCCCTTGTGCCTATGGTTCCAGGCTGTCTGTTGCTCTGAACTAAATGCCTATACTTAATGGGAACAAAGTGATATTTTATTCATCTACACATTTAGCCCACATTTCCTGCACCTAAATATGCTCAAGGCTGCTATAAAACACATATTAAAAACAATCCCAATTAAAATTTAATATAACAACAAAGAAGTTAAATTCACAACAATAGAAGACATAGATAATAGCTAACCAGGTAGACTCCTTTCAGCCAAAGACCTGTTTGAATAAAAATGTCCTTCCATGCCAGTAGAAGAGCAAGAAAGAGAAAGGAGGCATACCCTACCGTGGCAAGGAGTAGCTGAGACTATGATAGGCTACTGGGAAAATCTCTAGTGTCACACTTGACATGCCTCCAATGGTGATGAGAGCAAGAAAAGCCCCCCCCCCAACAATTTGTGAATTTTGTTGTATGGGTATACTGTGTATATACTTACAATGACAATAAATTATTATTATTATTATTAATTTTGAAGCCCAAACTGAAGGGAGAACTCAATCATTGACATAGCCTAGTTCCAAGTTATATAGTGCTTTAGAGGTAACCAGCTGTCATTTGAATTGTGCCTAGAAATACATCTAACAAATTGTCCTCTGAGTCCTAGCATCTACACATTGCAACGGTATTGCCTTTGAAAAAGCTGACTGCTGTGTTTCTTTTTCATTTATAGGAAAGGTTGTGAATATGGGCCACCGTATTCCTTTCGGTGACTGGTTTGAAATGGTGTCTTGTCCTCATTATTTTGCTGAATTGCTAATATACATATCCATGGCTGTCACATTTGGACTTAAGAATTTTTCATGGTGGCTGGTTGTGATGTATGTGTTCTTTAATCAAGCAGTGAGTGCTGTTTTGTGTCATGAATATTACCAGAGCAACTTTAAGCATTATCCAACGTGTCGCAAAGCATACATACCCTTTCTTTTTTAGGCTGCTGGTATTAAATTGTTAGAAAATCACATTCAAACAGGGGAAAGAAATATAAGTGCTTCAAGGATAAAATTTCATAGAACAACAATATTTTGGATGAGAAGAATGGTCTGCTAGCATAGCCAGTTTCTGGCTGGGGAGCCTGGGATCTGTAGTCCAAAAAATAACTGTTCCAAGGTCAGTTCAGGGGTCAAATTGTTATCCACAGGAGAGTAACAGAAATTAAATAGGTGCAGATAGTTTTGAAAGAAATTTTAATTTTTCAACAAGGTGTCTGAAAAGAACAAACGTCCCTGAGACTAAGAAGCACAGCTCAGCCTTTGTTCACATGCAGTTGGCCAACTGAGATCCAAGGAAGAAGGCTCCAGAGAACACAGTGGGGCTTGCTTGTGAGCAAACATATTTATGCTGGAATGCTGAAGCTCTTCTCCCTAAAGGTAGTCTGTCTCAGAGAGATAAAGGGAATTCTTTGCATAATTAAGGTTACAATAAAAGTTATACTATAACTGCAATAAAAATTATACATGAATGGAAGATACTGTTGGTCACACGATTGTTTTTACTCTGGTTCTGCATTGAAAACAGGTAATGAGGCTGTATCTGTACATCATTAGAATAATGAAACACCTGAGATCTTACCACCTGATTGACAGAGTAAAGTTGTATTGAAAAGCTAGTTTATTACTTGATGCTTCACTGGGAGGCAATATGAAAGCTCTCTGGGCCAATATCTTGGCTGTTTCACACATGCAAACATTTTTACTTGATGCTGCAATCATCAAGCAAGAAATACACATTTGTACATGACATAGAATGTTGGGGCCTTCAACTGGGGTTGCAGAGCTCGACTTAACCGTGCACATGGAAGGCATGAAAACCTGAAGGGCAGGCAAGTCTGTAAAGATGTTGGAAGTGGAGCTTAAGACCACTGCCATCACTTTAGCAATATTCTTCTAAAGAGAAACACCTGTATAAGGCTAATGTCATGGGTTTCCCCCTATTTCCTCCCTGCTTCCAAATGTGGAAGTATTTAAGGATATGGTGTTGCTTAATCCTGCCAGTGTCTTGTAGCCTGAAGTACTTGAAAATATTATTGTGTGCTGTTTAAGTGGACTTCTTGTAAATAGCAAAAACTTGCACTAGGTCCAGAACCTTTCTCCTGAAACAAAGTAAAAAAAAATGTTATAGCTTTGTCATTATAGTCTACAAGGATGATGAAGAGACATCAGATAAGATATATTCTAGTTCAGGGGTCCCCAACCCGGCAGCGGTTCGCGGCCTAGGCAGGACCAGGCTGTGGACACAGATCTCCTGCCCCCCTGTGAGTGCTGCCGTGTGCATGCGCACGAGCACACTCCACCCCCTGTGAGTGCACGTGAGTGGCCCCCCCTGAGCACTGCCACATGCAAGCATGCTCTGCCGTGAGTGGACGTGAGTGGCCCCCGAGCACTGCCACATGCAAGCATGCTCTGCCCCGCAAGCACACTGTGCACATGCACACACGTGCCCCTGCAAGTGCTTCCATGCACAAGTGCACTCTCCTTTCGAGTGCGCCACGTGGATGCGCACAAGCATCCCCCGTGAGCACTGCTGCGTGCGTGCGCTCCACCCCCCTGCGGGCACGCCACATTCCCGCAAGTGTGCCATGGCCCCTGCATGAGCGTGCCACACACACACACCCAACCGGTACGTGGTTGGGAAAAGGTTGGGGACCACTAGTTGACCAATACTGTACAAATTTTACTCCCTTCTCTCTTGGACCACATTTTATCCAATAAATCAGTTACAATGTTTCTATAAAAATACTTTGCACTATTTTTTGTATCTATTGCTTACAGAAAACATATGTAATAATTACATATTTAATAAACATTTAAACCACCAGCCTGTTTTCAGCAGTTAGAGGTTAATGTTCTGTTTATAATTTTGGAGTAAAAATAATATAGTGAGAAATGTATTACTGTACCTGAAGAGAATTTTGAAGTGCCTACATTGTGAGTGATTTCCAAAAGGGTAGTTTTATGATAGCTTGGTTGGGAGTTCAGTTCTCCATTGCGCCTCCTACAACTAGAACCAGCCTGGGTGTCCTTGGGTAAACTGCACAGACCCAAAGGGTCCCCAGAAGAAGAAACAGTAAACCACTTTTGAGTGTTCTCTAGCTGGAAAACCCAAAAAAGGGTAACCATAAATAAGAACTGTCTTGATGGTACAGAATTATTATTAGTTCTATCTGAGAATATATAATCTTTATAAGTTACAGATTTACTTCTTTGTGAAGTTTTGTATCCACTTCCATACTCATACTACTATTAGAAAGACCAAGGAAAAGGCTGTGGGACATTTTTCTCTGGTTAGGGAAAGAGTGCTATGCTAACAAAACCTGGATCTTCACTGGCCAAAATCCTCTTGCTTAGCATAATAAATGGCACCAGAGCTGGCCCACTGAATCGATGTGAGTTAACTCCATAGGTTCCATTGACTTAAATGGGTATATTTTAACTGTGACTTACTATGCTAAAGTAAGTCACAGTCAAAGTAGCCCAATTTAATTAGTGGAACTTCCAGAGAAGTTGATTCTCCAGATCCCCTTTGATTCAGTGGGCTTATTGTAGTGCAATTTACTATGCTAGGTAACAAGAATTTGGCCACTAACTGCATAAGTTAAATGTAACTTTCATATACTTGCATTATATCTTTGGGGTAAACGAAACAGTACACCGAGCCCTGTCCTCTGATGCCTAAAAATCCTGATTGGTATATACTCTTCATAAGCCACCTGTACTTTATAGGGTCCCTACATTCCCAAGAAGGTGCCCAGTGTGGTATAGTGGATAAAGTAATGGGCTAGGACTCAGAAAATCTGGGTTCTGTTCCCTGGCTCTGCCATGGAAACTCACTGTGGGTGTAGAACTGGTAAAATCTCTCCTTAAATGCCTCACTTACCCTGAAAACCCTATTAGGGTCCATTCTGACTTGACAGCACATAACAAGCACAAACATACCCAAGACTGCCCTTGTAGATAGGACACTTGGAGGCTTATTTTAAAAGATGCTTGGTATATCTCATCTGTAGATGTGTGACTGGAACTGCATCATGGTGCACAAGTTCACCTTTCCAATGTCAGTCAAATCCTTTCTTGATATCCACCTTTTCTACAAAGTCTTCAGTACATCACCTAATTTTCATTTTATAATTTTTTTTTACCAGAGGCATTTCAGTGACTCAAAATGGATAACTGAAATCTCAAGTCTACCAAGTGGAGTGCAAACACCTTATTATCTCTCTGGCTACTTGTCCTTTTTTTCAGCTCCTGTGTCATGACTTTCAGAATAGTGGTGGCAAGTAGCTGAAGGCCAGTATTTGGCAACATAGATGCTGACAGTCTATAAGCCATGATATGGGTGTGGTTTCTTGAAATATTCTGTTATACAACTGGGATGTTGCTGGTGTTTGTGTAAGATTTGTGTCTGCTACTTGATGAGCTGTGTACCTGGTCTCGTACCAAACTAGAGTAAAGAAGGATTCCAGCACAATCAACTAGTTGTGTCAATTTGTACATATCTTACGTGAGCACCCATAGGACTCTGGACAATATTTTTAGTGAACTACTATACCTTAGCAGGGATGGGCAATATGAAACTCCAGTTATTCTTGACTTTTGGACGCTGATGGAAGCTGAGTCTAACATTGTCTGGAGATTTCCGTTCTATGGATTTCGCTGATATAATTCACTGTGCTTTTGTGTACTCTACCTCCATCTTTCACATGGATGACAGACCCAGAAGACCTTCTGGTCAACTAGTTCTTGGTCTTCCAGATCTAAAATCACTTTTCTTTTAAAAGCCAAACTTCTAGTGTCATTCATTAGGAATCACATTTATTCTCCTGACTGTATTGGTATTTTAATTATGCTGTTGTATGTTTTGTTGTAAACCGCCCAGAGTGGCCTTTGGCCAGATGGGTGGTAAAAGAAATGAAATAATTAAATAAAGATATAAGGAACCTCCCCAAAGAATATAAGAACTGTGAACACATTTGGGCATCTCCTGGGCAACAACAGTATCCTTTTGGCTAATCCTTCCCCTCCAGAAACACCACAACTGGTTTTAACAAGAACTCAAAAAAGAAACAATCACTTACTATAATAATCCCCCAAATTATCTGTAATGATGGAAGCCAGTTTTACCAGCAAATCTTCACTTAATTATCTCTGAAAGTCAGTGTTTCCAATGTCAGGAGCTGGGCATAGATTCCAAACAAGCACCTGGCTTTGGTTCAAGGCTTTCTAACACTGGCAGCAGTGCAGGTGCTATCAACAGACTTGTAAAGAGAAAAAAAAAGTTACTGATTCTGTCAATGTATTTGGCAGAGGTTGAGGTGTATGAAGAAGGCTTGCTCTTAATGGGCTTGCTCTTAACGGGCTCCTCATTCCACACCTTAGCACTTTTTCCCCTCAGTAAGATACGGCAGCAATAGATTTATGTGATTCTGGTGCCAAGATCTCCCAACTGCACTTTCAGGAGAAGGTGCTGAAACAAACAGGGCCTGTGTCAATAGAGCATTTGTGTGCCGCTGTCACAGTGTCAAGACTGCCGAGATGGCAGACCACTCTGCTCTTGCTTCATAATGGAAAATGAAGTGAGCTCCCGTCACTCGTCAAGGCTCCTGCCAACCTAGCAGTTCGAAAGCATGCAAATGCAAGTAGATAAACAGGGACCACCACGGTGGGAAGGTAACGACATTCCGTGTCTAGTCACGCTGGCCACATGACCACGGAAACTGTCTTTGGACAAACGCTGGCTCTACGGCTTGGAAATGGGGATGATTGCTGAAGGAACAAGGCAAAGATGTCCACTTTCCCCGTTGCTGTTCATCTTTTCATTGGAAATATTAAACACAGAAATTAGTCAGAATCAAGGAAACCAAGGAACAAGGATTAAAGATGAAGTTTATGAACTTCAAGCTTTCACAGATGACCTGGTCTTTATTTTAGAAGACCCATTAAAATCAGCCCCAATTTTACTCCAGCAAATTGAAGAATTTGGATTGAGAATCAATGGAGAGAAGATGAAATTCTTAACTAAAAATTTAACCCCAAACCAAAAAAGCCAGCTCATCTTAAATACAAACATTCAAACAGCAAATAAAGTAAAGTATTTGGGAATTTTCTTGACAGCTATGTTCTTCATTGAAAGAAGATAACTATGTGAAATTGCTTTCACAGATTAAGCAAGACCTGGAAAGTTGGGAGAAACTATTACTCTCTTTTCTAGGAAAAATCGCAACAGTTAAAATGAATACCCTCTCCAAATTACTCTGTCTCCCAGAATTTACCAATTAAGCTAGATCAAAGGTTTTTTGAAGAATTAAACAGCCTAGTTTCAAAGTTCATATGGCAGAAGAAGAAACAGAGAATTAAACCAAATTACTACAAGACACCAAAGAAAGGGGAGGATTTGGCTTGCCAAATTGGAATTTATATTATCAAGCAAGCACATTAACGTGGATTAGGGATTAAATAAAGCTAAAAAATAAGAGAGTACTATACTTAGAGGGGCATGATCTGCAAGTAGGATGGCATGCGTTTTTATGGTACGGAAGGACTAAAACTTATTAATATTTTGAAAGAAATATAAGAAATTCTCTTTTAAGGATTTGGGGAAAAGTTAGATCTAAAATATATGTTGAAATACCTAGGTGGGTCTCACCAATGGAAGTGTTTACATACCCAAATTTGCTAAACTTCTGGGAAAAAACTACTTATAATGAGCTTTTGAATTCTGAGGGACTTTTGAAGACAAAAATTAAATTAGAGAACCAAGGACTAATCTTTTCATGGTGGCCTCAAATGTAAATACAATCAATTTATAATCAAGGTAAGAAGGCTCAAGGTTTTTATAAAGAATATATAACATTTGACAAAATATTACTTACTATAGAAGAAAAACAAATTCAAAAATTGTATAAATTTTTACTGCAATGGGATGCATAGGATGAAGATGTTAAAGATACAATTTTAAAATTTTCTAATATGTTTAAATTTAAAGTACTGTATGTTAAAATCTAAAATGTTAATTTTTTTCTAAAAATTGCCATTTTTCTAATATGGAATTAGAAAAATGGCAATAACTTTGGACAAAAAATTATAAGTTAACATTAGCAACTTCTTACAAAGAAAATTTATATAAAATCTTCCCAAATATGTCAAATAAGTGTTGTAAATGTAAAAATCATGAAGGAAGCTATTATCATGTATGGTAGACTTGTGATAGAGCAAGAAATTATTGGGCATCCACATGTGGATTAAGCAAATGTCAAAACAGGAAATAGAATTTAAACCGGAAATATTTTTGTTAGGATTACTACCAAGTACTGTAGATACACAAATCTATTAATTAATACTACATGTTTTGACAGCAGCTAGGTGACAATGGGCACAAATCTGTAAAAATGAAAATCCACCAAATGATGATATGATCATTAAAAAAATATTAGAAAGTGCAGAAATGGATAAAGTAAGAGGCTAAAGGGACAAAAAGAATCATATTTTTATTTAAGCTGAAATTTATTTTATAATTGGTGGAAAGTAAAAATCCTGCAGTAAGGGAACAGAAAATGAATAAAAAGTGGGATGTTTTGGATAGGATCTCATCAGAAGAATTATTCCAAAATACAAGATTGCTTCTATGTTGAGCCTTAGGCTTTTTTTTCCTTTTTGCATTTAGATTATCTTTGTTTATTGTTCGATGGTTAGATTCTTAGACTTTATGTTTACTGTTTAAATGCGCTTTGTGCTACATACGTATGTTTTTAAATTTTCTGTTGGGGGAAAAAAAGGAAACGGGGATGAGCACCACGCCCTAGAGTCGGACATGACTGTACTAAATGTCAAGGGGAACCTTTACCTTTACCTAAACCAGTTTTAGTCTTAAGTAAATCAGCTACCATTTCCCCAAAATTAAGACCTAACCTGAAAATAAGCCTTAGTATGATTTTTCAGGATGCTCATAATATATGCCCTACCTTAAAAATAAGCCCTAGTTAAGTGAAACCCCGTCCTCCACCATTGTGCAGCCATCAGAAGAAGATGACATGACTGCATTTGAATAAATGTAGGTCGTTGTACATGGAAAAAATTAAAACATCCCCTGAAAATAAGCTCTATTGCATTTTTTGGAGCAAAAATTAATATAAGACCCTGTCTTATTTTCGGGGTCACATGGTAGTTGCTTTAAGCATTATTTTAAGAAACATAAATACCATGTTTCCCCAAAAATAAGACAGGGTCTTATATTAATTTTTGCTCTAAAAATGCATTAGAGCTTATTTTCAGGGGATGTTTTATTTTATAGTCATATCATCTTCTGGTTGTTGCACAATCTGCACAATGGACGACCCCCCTCCCCAATCCAGTAGGCATTACTGACAGGATTTTGAACTGGTGATTAATCATATGAGAACAGGAATGGGAGGGATATCTATTTGAATAAATGCAAATTAGACTATATGCCTCACACCAAGAACACTGCCATGCTTATAGACTGTCCACATTTGCCTTCACAAAAGTTCCCAGGAAATGAGAAAGGCATGCAAGATTTCATTTTCCTGTAGGGCATTTTGGCAGCTGAAAACTTCCTACTAAGAAAGTCTGGAGGTGATTTCAGCTTTACTCTGTTGATACACTTCATGTAAGAATATCTGAATCACTACATTAGAACAGTGCAACAATTAAGTACGTATTACTGTACAGCCATTGTGATACAGTCTATGATAGGCTGATTAATACATGCACATTCATCCCTTCATTTATCAGCTTATTTAGCGTCTGATTAGCCAGTGCTTTTCACTGACTTCAGCAGACTTCCGGTTATTTCACTGTTTATCAAAATATATTATTTTGTATGTAATTTGTGGAAATGGAAGGGGGCAGTCATGCTACAGATTAGCATTGTTACAAGAAAACGTTTGATAAGGACAAGCGTAAGGCTGGCAAAATGCATTGATGGAGGCACCTTAACTTGTTCAGCAAAGCAACAATTTTTTGGATTTGTATCGTGTGTTTCTTCCCAAAATGGGACTTAAAGGCTGCTCACAGTAGTGTTAAATAAAGCAACCCATTAAGACCACAAAATGAGACTAAGCAGGTTTGTAATAAAAGCAGTTTAAATTTTAAAAAAAGAATACAGTTTAAAAACACTCAAGAAAAAAAATAAGAGCTGGTGCAGCCATTATCTGGCTTAGTCCTCAGCAGTTGCTAAACTGCAAAGTATGTTTTTGTGGCACTTTAAAAGACTAAAGGCACGTTTTACACAGGCCCTTTGGGAGCAGGTGGTGTGGTCCGAATAGGGTCACTTGAGGTCAGGTGATGGTGTGATACGCCACGGTGTGAAGGCACTGCACACCGTCTGGAGTAAACGAAGACGCATCAGGTCATAGTTGCTTCGCTGCATGCCGCCAAGCCGATCCCAAGGTGGGGCGACCGTTCCTAGGATTTGCTACACACCGCGGTTTACCCTTCCCTTCTTCTGGGGCGACATCTCGGCCTGGGCCCCTCGGCCACGGCTGCACAGGCTGCCTCTTCTCCCGGGCTGGGCATACAGGGGAGCACCCATCACCTTGACCCCCCTCCCAGCTCTGCAGCCAGAAAGTTTCACAACCCCGACCTCCTTCCCCTCCGCCTACTATTACTGCACACTTCCCTTAGAACTCCAAAGCCACGCGGAGTTTAGATCCGCCGGGTGAAGGCGGGGCGAGGGGCGGCAGCGAGCAAAACGTCACATCGCCGAGCCCAGCCATTGGTCGCCTCCTCAGTTCCTCCTCCAGGGTCGCTCCAGCCTCCCCTCCTTTTGAAAGTCTTCCTCTCGACGTTCTGGCCCCGCCCGCCGGGCACGCGGCGGCGTCCCAATCAGAGAGGCAGGAGAGGGAGCAGGGGGCGGGGCTTTGCGTCTCTAAGTCTCCGGTTGCGTGGCGAAGCGGAGAGCGCGCGCGAGAGGGGCCGGGTGTCGAGGGAAGCGGCCATGGCGGTCGGGAAGCGTTAGCGAAAGAGGCCGCTTGGGTTCGGGGCCCGGCCATGGCGGGTCCCCCGCGGCTGCGGCCGCTCCTGGAGCTGCTGCTGCTGCTGCTCGTGGCCTTCTTGGCCGCTCCTTTCGTCGCCTCCGAGCTAGAGGCCGGCAAGGAACGAGAGCCGCCGCCGCCCCCCCAGCAGGAGCAGCAGAAGCCGCCGCCGCCTCAGCCGCCTGCTGTGCAGGGACCGGAGCTCGCCCGGGCCGAGGTGAGAGATGCGGGCGGAGGCTGCGCCTTGTGCGGGAGGCCCCCTGGAATGGGCTCCGGTGTTGAGGGGGACGTCCATCGAGGACGGCCGGGGAACCGGACCGGCTGTGCGCTTGTCGTGCCCTCACGCAGGGACCGTCCACAACCGGGTGCCTCCCAGATGTTGGCCTCCAACTGTCATAATCCACGGACCACGATCGCGCTGGCCGAGGATGATGGGAACTGTGGCCCTACGCCTCTGAAGTGCTCCGGGTTGGGGAAGTCTGTTCGCACTTCCGCCATTCGCATCACTCTCCAGCAGGCTTTTCCCCCTCTTCCTCCCACGTCAGATAGCTTCTTCCTCCAAAAAGTATATGAACAGGATATGTGATCACAATAGTTATTTTTTAAAAAAAACTGTCAAAAGAAATTAAAAGCGGCCAAATTGGAAGCCCATTGTCATTTTCATGAGCTAGTTTCTTCCAATTTTAGGAAATTACAAAAACCGAGAGCATTGATGAAAATAATACTATATAGTCACAGATTATGAGACTGGAAACAAACAAACAAAAAACCCCAACAAAATTCTCAAAAACTAAATTGTGCCTCTGGAGCGGCCGACCTTGTCTATCTATATGTCTGCTATCTGGCAAATAATTTTGGCCAGTATTTTATTGCCCAATGCAAAGCCAGAGGCAAATCACCTTGAATGTCCGTTTCTTGCACAGCTGGTCAAGTAGCTGGGAAATGCTTACACAATTTCCCTTCCACTTTTAATTTAGGCAACAGGATAGTAGGCTTTTTGTGGTTGATGAAGCGGTCTGTATCTCCAAAACGTTATGCCTCAATAAATATGTAAGTAAAGAATGTGCTATACAACATTGGTACCAGAACAGGTATAGTAGTTTCAAAACTGGAAAGATGAAACTGCTACCTGCTTGTTTGCTGAAAAAGATAAATCTGAAGGAAATTTCTTTCATCTGTGTTGGCTTAGTTAAACTGGGATCAGTACGGCCATCCCTGATGGCTGTTCTGAGGGACTGTCCATGAAGCAGGTACATTGTTGTGGGAGCAGGCAAGTGAAAATGCCACTTCCTACAATCTGGTACATAGTACTAGGGCAACACTGAAGAGTGGCATAATGTTAGAACTGTAACTAAAAAGTATAAAGAAATAATACTGAATGATGTTGGAGAAGGCAGGAGCAGTGTGTATTCTTGAAAAGGAGAATGTCACGGTTTAGGCTCTTGTAGGATCCCTACATCTCCTCCTAGAATGAACTTCATTTTTTAACTATAAATGCATGGTCTTAGACTGCAGTTGTCAGCACTGAAAGTAAGATACTAGGCATGTATCTGATAAGTATTTTCTTTGTTATGTAAGCTGCATATCTCTTTGTATGAAAAAAGAACATGACCATCAAAGGAAATGAATGTATTAGTCATAGTTAGAGATGGAAGAGCAAAGTTACCTGTAATTTTAGTTCTGTCCATCATAGAAGATAGAGTAAAGCATGACTTCGAAGTTGTGTCATGGTTTATGAACAGTCTGCGTTAAAATCGCTTCTTTCCCATTCCCTCTTGATTCATCATCTAACATATATTTTACCAGATTGCTTTGCGTACAGGGCAAGATAGTTAAGAAGAGAGGAATTGTTAAGTGACTTTATGTCTTTACTGTAATTGGCATTGCACTGCACCAAGCTTAGTTTTTCCAGACACTTTTGCAGGTGTACAAAATTGGAGTTGTTTGCAGCTCTGTCCTTGCTTTCTACTCCAATATGAGGAAACAGCAAAAACAAACAAGCATGCAAAACCCCACATTCCACCTGTCCTATGTGGACTTCTGTTACTACTTTATTACTTGCTTTTTTAAGAAGATATCATAACAATTATGTGCAGTACAGAAGCTCAGCAGCCCCAGTGTGGTATAGTGGTTAGAGTGCTAGATAGAATTTATATTATTCAGGAGATTTTGATTCAGCTCTCCCCTCCTTGGCAATGAAACTTACTGTTTGACGTTAGGCCAGTCTTATCTCTGAGCTGGATCAACTTCACAGGGTTGTTGTGAGGACGAAATGAGGAGGAGGGGGGCTGTGCATGCCAACCTGGGTTTATTGGAGGAAGAGTGGGATATGAATGTAACAAAGAAGCATGGGACATTTTCTAAAATTTCTGCTGGTCAGGCAGTTGTTGCAAATATAGGTACCCTGCTTGACAGTGAAGTCTTGCTTACTGCAGTTCTTTCCCTTCTTAGCTGATTGCTTTTCCTCTCAAACATGTGTTTTCTATCAAAATAGCAGTACCAGTGGTTCATTGGGATATCTAAGGTCCAGATACCTCTACCTTCCAGGAAACACCAGTATAGGCACATCAAACACAACTGTTGCCTAATAGTTAAAAACACTCTTATATATTTTTCTGATAGAGGTCTGTTTCTGAGATACATACATCTTGCATATCACAAATGGAAATCACAGTTTTAAAACAATGGTCATTACCAACTGATGCAATCAGGATGATATTCCAGTCCAGATAGTCCAAGTCACCATGACCGCTTAAGAGCCTTGAACAACATAGATTTTGTTTCCACAAGGTAAACAGAGACAGTTCACATTTTCTGTGACAACATAGATTTTGTTTTTACAAGGTAAACACAGATAGTTCATGTTTTCTGTCAATAGCTAATTCACAGGTGTTCCCTGAAACTAGCCTTGTGGTCTCCAGTTGCAAGTAAGGGTTACCCTGCCATTCTGATTCATTTATGATACTACAATTTCATTTGCCAAATTAGATACCCCCCACTTACTAGTTAAAAACTTTTGGACACTCTGAGGTTCTCCAGTTTTAACTCCATGAAGCAAAGGACGAATTAGAGACTATTCCTTCAAAAAGAGGATCATTATGTGATTGCCAAATCAGATGATTGGTGAACAGATCTGCAAGCTAGTTGTTTTAAAAAAACAATTGACAGTACCATCCCTGGTAACATTTATTGGGTAGCGGGTTGTGGGCATATCAGTTAATTGTAAATCTACAGGCTTTTTATAAATGCAGCTAATGAAAAGTTATATTAAGCTTTAGATTCCTAGCTTGTTTCCTGTCTTGTTCAGTTCTAATAAGGTACCACAATCCCAATATTGTGTTCCATTTGGCAGGTCTTGTGATACAGTTCAGATTTATCAATTGTAACTGTCATTGACTGATTAAAGGAAAATGTCTTTGACTGATTGAAAGAATGTAATTTTAAAAGTACAAAACAGGTGGCCTTCTTCAAAAATAAAATTAATCCCTTTTTTACGTATGAGATGAAGACAGTGAGCTTACAAGAGATAATTAATACTAATACTGCTTAAGCAATGTAATGATTAACTTAAATTTTAATATTAATTATCAAGTAGCCAGGAGTTTCACAAAAAATCCTGAGTTTAATCTTTTGTGTACTGTACTTCTTAACAACATGACATTAGCTTGTTTGTTTGGAAGTATGGCCAATTCTTAGATGCAGGTTTAGATATGTTGCTACAAGTGTTTCTCATGGACAAAACCAACTTTTCTTGTTACACTTGATCTCTCTTTCTCATGGATGAGTCATCGGTGACAAAGGAGTAGCATGGTGAAACATGTTCTGCATAGGAGCTGAAAGTTTAAAAAATGTAGCAACTTGAAGTTGTAAAATGCTAAATCTTACTACTTAAAATTATTAAATCTGTTACAACATACATGAAGAATTTATGTTAATATCCCATAGCTTATCTAGTTTATCCACAGTCTTCATGTATTTTTCTCATTGTGTTGCAGTATTCTTTGATGGTGGATTTTTAACAATTGTGTTTCTTTTGGGTAATATAAGATTCACTAATCTGTTGGATTCAGATTGGATGTTAAATTGTATTCTCCTTGTCTCTTAGTCTTACCTTCAGAGGAACTGAATATTTTTCCTTGTGTTTTCATGCAAACAATGTTGCACTGCAATCTCAGCTACTTAAAAGAAGTTACGTCACCTTGCCTGTACATCAAAGTGCTCTGGCATAGTGAATGCTCCTTCCATCAGAGGGGATTTAGATGGTAGTCAGAAGGTACACACACTTTTGAGCATGAATGCCTTTTTGTAGAATTCCTTTCCTAAGGAGGGCAATGCCTTGCACTGATGCTGCTTTTTTTTTGGAAAATATTTACAGTGGTGCATTGACTTATGAACTTAATCCGTCCCAGAAGATGTTTGTACAGTATGTCAAAATGTTCTTATGTCGAAGCACCATTTCCCATTGAAATGCATGGGAACGGGATTAATCTGTTCCAGCATTTTTTTAAAAAAATCAATAACCAGTCTTAAGTTGCCTCTGATTGCACTCACTCCCTGGCCGGACTCGGCATCCCAGGTTTCCACTGCCACCGTCACCACCGCAGCCGGGAGGCAAGCTGCCGGACCATCCTGGGCATGTTCAGCCTTCCAGGCTTCCACTGCTGCCAGCCGGGCTCAGCCTCCCGGGCTTTCATCACTGGTGCTGCCGGGAGGCGAGCCACCGGCCCATCCTGGCTGGGCTCAGCTCCCGGGCTTCCACCGCTGTCCTGGCGGCAGTGGAAGCCCGGGAGGCTGAGCATGCCCAGGATGGTCTGGGCAGCTCGCCTCCTGGCAGTGCCGGCGGCAGAAGCACGGGAGGCTGAGCCTTCCTTTTCCTAACCGTTGGGGCTAAAGAGCTACAAAGAAGCAGCCTCTTTGCCACCAATGGTTTGAATTTCCTGCCTTTCCCCCCTGTCTTTTTCTATTCGTACATCGAAGCTCCGTTCGCAAGTAGAAGCAAAATTTTGCGACGGGAGCTGTTCGTAAGTTGAAATATTCATAGATAAGGGCGTTTGTAGGTGAAGGCACCACTGTATCTTCCTAGCCTTCAACACCTTCTAATTGCATATTGGTGAGTTTTGATTGCTTGATCTGATTCTTTCACTGGTTTTCAATACCACTGTTTTCAGTACTGTTTTCTATCCTGGATTCTTATGGTGAAGAGTGCTATAGAAATTC